GACTAAAACTGCTCCAAAATAATCACCCGATGACTGAGGGATATCCCTACTTTGCGCAATCTCATTATTGCGAACGTCTTCAGCTTTGACGTACATTTCCAATATTTTTATCACAAGATATTTCCGGTATTCACCCGGAGTCCTCAAAAAATCTCTCATAGTTTCATCGTCTTCGATGTTAAACTCAGCATAACAAGCAACCCCTTGCGAAGTGACAGAATACAGATATCTTCCGGTTACTTTAATATTCACCGAACGTTTTCTNTTCAGTTTTATATTTTGCTTCGCAAATTGTCTTGCAAGGTGGCCCCATGGCCAAAGTATGACATTATGTGTTCAGAGTCCCTTAGTCGCAATTTGGTACGCCAGGTTAGGTGAGGCACGGGGTGCTTGTCTCGCTCCTAGGTTCGGGGCGTGACATAAACTATAGCTTATTGAGTTATTCATCACCACAACCTCACCCCCCCTCCAATATAATGAAACCCTAATTCTTCGCTCTTCAGACATTATGACAAAATTCAAAATAACTTAACGAAGAAATATTTCAGAAGACTTGAGAATATTTATGAATGGATTTTTATAGAATCCTTAACCTCTTTAAATAAGGTAAAAACCAGTCCCGGGAGTACAATTATTTGAGGTATAGCGCCTTAAATATGGGCGCTATATCCAGTTGAATTATTGTTATGTCAGTTAAGCCCAGAAGAATCATTGGTGAGCCACATAATATATATAGCGTGGTAAGTTAGGGCGTTATATATATAACGCCTTAAATAAGGGCGTTATACTTAATTGGGCAAACGGTCGTTAAGGTATAACGTCTTATAAAAGGGTATTATATATATTATGGTCACCAATTTTTTTTCCCACACATTTTGGTTCTTTGAGTCCAAAAGAACCACATTTTGGTTCCTGGTTCCAAAAATTAGTAGTAAAAGCTTTTCCTTGAAGGAAAACTTTTGCTTGATGCCAAATATGAAAGTTCGTGATACTTAAGATGAACATTAAGATGGTTTTTGTCATCTTAGCGATAAATTCATAGTATGCAGAAGGTGCTTTACGTTTGAAATTGGATGAAAAGATAGTGGTCAATCACTCAATCAACAAGTATTTTTATACTATAACAAAGATTAGATATACCAATTGTGAATTACAGAATAAGGTATGTAGCTTAAATTATGTCAATCAAATGGTTGGAGGCCTCATATTTTTGTTATATTTATTGAGGATTATATTCAATTGTCTTCTTATGCCGGAAATGATTTTGTGCATTGAAATATAGATCAACATATTTAAATTATCATTTTATGCACTGTATTTTTTCTATAATCAGAAGCTAATCATATTCTGCAGATTCTTTTTAAATAGGAAAGGGAAATGATTGGGGTTTACCCGAAAAATCGGATAGAGTTAAATTTATACGTAGTTCTAAAAGTACGTAGTATAACTTGACACAATTCGTAAAGAAAAATAGAAATATCTAATCTTGACTATAAAGAATAAAAGATAAACACAGTAGAAAGGAGAAAAATGAATGAGCAAAATAAGATGAAGTGATGGAGTACAAAAGGTTAATCTTTCAATATGAGAAAATAGGATTCTTGTTACAATGTGAATGTCTCGCTGCTTTACAGAAACAACAATCATCCCTTTTATGGTGGAGGGATCTTACTTTAAATATAATAAAAAATACATAGTGGGGAACCCATGATGAATTAGTTTTTCCCTAATTCCTGCTAGGATTCTCTCCCCTAGTGCGGTTACAACGACTCTTGTCTGTGAGCTCGATCTTGACTCGAGCTCTCGATCTTGACTCGAGTTCTCGATCTTGACTCGAGCTCGATTCCGACTTTGAGTCTGATATCGATTCGGTGTCGGTGTCGGTCGGCCTATGAATCTAAAGCTCGATAATTTCGCTTCGCCTCGTAGCTCGATTTGGATTCGAGCTCGATAATGATATCGAGCTTGACATTGATCGGTCCTAGAACTCGAAGCTTGATGACCCGACTTCGGACCTCAATCTGATATTACGAAGACGCTCTTCGATCAAAGTATTACCATCTCGACTAGTTCGTACGGCGGACTGATCGGTTCTGGCCGTATACAATTGGAACAACTGATGAGAGCTTTACAGTATTTTTTGATTTTTCAGGTACACTGTCTCAGCCATAACTTTGGCATCCTCCTAACAGCTACACAATTGTCAAAACATTATACTGACAAACCAGTTTATTAATTAAAATGCTCATCTGCCTTGCCAATTATGCTTATTTTATATCTTCCTGTGTGGTCTAAGAAGAGATGTTATGATACTTGTATTAGACAGGAAAACTATTTATCTTTAACCTCCTGCTTTTGCCTTTTCTCACAATTATTTGGTCTTTTGATCTTCTCAGTTATTGTTTATCTATTATGCAATTAGATAGGTTAATAAAAAATTATAACTGTTGTTATTTTTAACATATGTTCCCAAAGAGATGTAAGTGTAGTCAATAACACTTATTACAATCACTTCTTATTTTATAGTGCAGATTATATCTCTATTAATCAAGAGAAGAAAATATGTCTAGAGGAGCTTCTCTCTCTATGTAGAATCGAGAAAACTGGAGCACAGATCTTCCAAAGAAGTGTTAAATGGTCGGCTATCGAGCTGAGTGGAAGTTGCTGGAGGAAGGAATCAGACAGAGAACATTGATTTTTCCTATAGAGTAAACATGTCCTACGGAAAAGGAGATTCTTGAAGACGTGTGAAGTAGGGAGTAGCCGAAACCAAAATGTGATCTTTTTTTACTCAAACGACCGAAATGCGCGTCCGTTTTGAACGTTTGAACGTTAAGGTATAGCGCCCTTTAAAATGGCGCTATATATATAAAGCCTTTTATACACATGGCGCAGAAAAAGCAGATACATAGAATTTAATGTACCAAAAAACAAATAGACTGCTGGGTGGTGCAATGGTTAAGGTTAAGTAAAAAAGTTGGTTTTGTCTTTGAGGTCCAAGTTCGATTCCCTCTAATAACATTATTTTGTTTTCCTATTTCTTATTTATTTTTCATTTCTTTTCATTATTTGGTTTAAGTATTTAGATAATATAAATACTTTAATATTTATAATTACTTTTCAATGCAAGTAAAATAATTTAATATTTATTAAAAAATTATGATTTTTGAATTCATTTAAAGTAAAAAAAAAAAGAGAAGACTTTTATTATTTCGTTAAAAAATCTACCGACATTTTTAATAGTTGTTGTATTTTTTGATACAAAAAAAAATATATAGTTTAATCTATTGCTTGAATTTTTTTATTTTTTGATATCTTTATTTTCAAAATTTAGTTATTAAAATTTAATTATTAATCAAAATTCTAATTATATATTTTATATTTTTCATGAAATGTATTTTTTATTTCTCCTTTTATTCATTGGCTATTGTAATTGTATTATCCATTTCAAATTTTTAAATAAGAATATGGTTGTTCTTATAATCCATTAGGATTATTATTAGCTAAGTAATGGAATATAATTCTTATATTCTTATTAGGAAAACTATTTAAATGGTTGCTCGTAGATTAAATTTTTTCTAATAAGAATTATCCTAAACTAAACTAAATATAACCATTTAATTTATGAAAACTCATTTAATTAATTTTTTTATACTAAATTTTCATAAACTAAACTGTATTATAACTATTTAGTTTATGAACAATCATTTAATTAAATGTCCTGATAAGAATATGAAAATCATAATCCATTACTTAGATAATAATAATTCTTCGATTATAATTTTAAAGATTAAATAGTTATAATAATTTATATTTAATAATAAGAAAATTATAAGATTTATAATTAAAATTTTGATTAATAAAATTTATATAGTGTAAATATAACTAAAATTTTAATAACCAAATTTAAAAAGAAAGATATCAAAAAATGAAAAAATTCAGGCAGTAGATTAAACTATATATATTTTTTGTATCAAAAAATACAAAAAATAATTTTATTTTACGTATAATACAAAATAACAACTATTAAAAATGTCGGTAGATTTTTTAACGAAATAATAAAAGGCTTTTTTTTTTACTTTAAATGAATTCAAAAATTATAATTTTTTAATAAATATTAAATTATTTTAATTACATTAAAAAGTAATTATAAATATTAAAGTATTTATATCTAAATACTTAAACCAAATAATGAAAAGAAGTAAAAAATGAAAAAAAAAATAGGATAAAAAATAATGCTGCTAGAGGGAATCGAACCTTGGATGTCAAGGACAAAACCAACTTTTTATTTAGCCTTTAACCATTGAACCACTAAGCAATCTGCTCTTGTTTTGATACATTAAATTCCATTTATCTGTTTTACCTATGCCGTGTATATAAAAGACTTTATACATATAGCGCCCTTTTAAAGGGCGCTATATATATTTTGGTCACTAAATTTTTTTTCCACGCATTTTGGTCGTTTGAGTCATAAAATACCACATTTTAATTCCGAACTCAACAAGTCCGTGAAGTAGGTGGCTATGTCATGTTCCGCAATCAACATGATTCTTCCACTAACTGGCATGGATAGAGACAAGAGATACATCAATCTTAATAGTCATGTAGTCCAAACAAATATATATCATTCTATTGTTGTCAGAAAAGCTTATAAGCATCATGTAGTCCAAACAAACCAAAATAATATGCATGCAACTTTCACATTTTCTGTTTACACCAATATTAATTTTATTGGGCAAATGGTGAATTGTTATGCTGCTGTTATATTAGCCGCAAATGCATTATCTCCGATTGGTAACTCGTATAAAAGAATTTAGAGATCATACCATCTTACAGACTCATCTAAAGTACTAAGATATCATCTATAGTTGCACATAATTATTCTTTTTAATTAGATACAGCCTCTCTTTACAGAATAATAATAATAATAATAATAATAATAATAATAATAATAGGCACGAAGCAACCTCTTATGGAACCTCCGAAGGTTCACCTTCTTATACAAACAAATATATAATTACACAAACTAATTGAAGCATTGAAATAAATACTTGTGTCTTTTCTTTAAAGCGTTAATCAACATAAGAAATTCATTGATCCGGTGGAATTTCCAGTGAAACGCTATCCATTATCTCAAAGTGAATTGAAAAAATGGAGCAGTCAGTTGCTAAAATTCGACAAAAGCCTGCAAGAATGCCTTGTCCTTCACCAATGGGAGAATCCGTGTCGTCAAAATCAACCACAATACGTTCTCCATTAGATAAATTTAACACGTCCCTTTTCTTCACTTTAAGTATCTTGCTAGCTCCTTGTGAATCTTAAAAGATAAAAACAAAAATCAATGTGATTCTCTATTCTTTGATTGAGGCATGCAGTAAATTCAAGGGTATTAAGACCGTGCATAGCTTGCAATACTGGAAATTAGGAAGGAACCCAAAAGAGTAACTTCATAACACTACTGTTTAAATAGGATTGAGGGAATAGTTTTTTGAACAAAAAACATATGCCTAAGCTAGCGAAACAGAGCAAATAAAAAAGAAAAGAAACAACACTACACATATATGATATGTACATGCATGGGAAGTTTCTTTTTGTACACGAGGTGATTGCACAAGACATGCAAAAAGTTGTGGAGGGTTTTAAATATAGAGATAAAGAGATTGTGGAGTGTTTTCATTAATGGCAGATTATTATATATATACACAATCTTCCTCTTTATTATGAAGAAAACTAAAAACCTGTTTATTTTTTAGTTGTGCTCTTTGAGCAGTCCTAAAATAGTACTTTGAGATTGCATTATATCTAATTTGAAATGTCAAAACGCCAACTCCTAGTACTAACATCAGTTACAATCCAGAAATATATTTTCAAAATTTTCATTTGAGAGAAAGTACCTATCAATTGTAATTTAAGGAGTATAATTTTATTCTCTAATTCACAGGGGGGAGGGTCAAGAATTTCTTGTGATTAGGTACTGAATCAATCCCTTCTACAAGAACACTATAGCATGGAGATTTGCTAAAGAAAGTGGCTTCATAATAGGGGAAGAATTATGAGCTGGACAGATAAATTACATCAAATTATAACCCTCCGTCTTCCATCAAATTATAACCAGTAAAGTCAGCATTTCCCCTGGAGTGAACATTTCCCTTTCTGACTCTTGGCACAAATAGATCAATCGAAATCAAAAATTACTTCAATTATAAAAGGATCTTGCAAATACCAACTACCAAATACATAATGCTTACAGAAAAAAGAAGGAAATATACAAACTAAACTATCAAAGATAAACAACAAATTAATTACAAAAGGCTCCCCATTGGGTAGTCAGTAACCTGAGATAGGAGGAATAGGAGGTGCTCCAGAATTCACTAAGGTGACTAGAGTTTAGGCTACTATATGATATTCAGAGGCGGATCTAGTGTGAGAGTTACTGGTTCAATTGAACCCATAACTTTCGACGCGGAGTAAAAATTTATGTGTAAAAATTCATTAAAATTGCAAAAATAATAGATTTGAACCCATAACTTTAAATATATAATGGGTTCAATGTTAAAAATATTAAAAATTGAACCCATAGAATTTAAATCCTGGATCCGTCTCTGATGATACTTCCTGTCAAAATTAGCATATTTGCAGAACAAAAAGCTCTACAGATGCGACTAAGATAGCAATTCAAAAGAAATTACAACTACTTGAAATCAACACAGACTCAAGTGCAGTAGTTACTGCACTTCAAATAGGTAACGTTCATTTTCTGCCGGTTGGAAAGTAGTACTATAGTTTTTGTACTCTTATCCAAAAGAAGATATATTTTTGTGACTCCAATATTATTAAACAGAAAAACAAAAAATGTACCTTGAGACTGATTCAAACACAACTCAGAGCAGAAAGAGGAAAAGCAGCCAGTGACAATTGCGTCTTCTTTGAAGGTCCCCAGGAGTTCTAAAATACACATGCAAAAGGAAATATTTCAATTAAGACCCAAATCACAGAAATTAACCAATAAAATACACAAAAAACTAAATTTTAGAACATATAATACCTAATGCAAAAGGAGAAAGAGGACTTACATCTCGATTTCAACAAAGAATGTTATATCCTTCTTCAAAATACACCGATTCTACCAAATTTCTGCTACTTTCTGTTGAGAATCGAAAAACATCAAGATGAAAGAAAGAGAAAAAAATCAGTAAAGAAAAAACATAAATTAACAGAGAAAAAAAACTTAAAAGCCACATACATGAAGAAAGAAAGACAAAAAAGCAAAATCAAAGAATGAAAGAGCAAAATCAAAGCAAAATCGAAGAGGAATTTGTATGAAAGAGCGAAATCAAATAAACTTACATCCAATTAAAGATTTTGTGTTAGAGTGGGCTGCTCATTTTCATCCCTTGTCTGGTAGGTCTGTTAAGGATTTGGTTAGAGTGGGCGAGGGTTTCTGAAAATGAAGCGAGGGGAGAGAGAAGGGTAGCTGAAAATGAGAAAGGGGTTTGGGAAAAAAAGAGAGGGAAAGGATTAAAAAACGAGGTTAGTGGGCGCTATTTTTCTTAAGGGCTGCAGAGGTTTCCGACTGCCGTAAATATAATATATTTGCGGGATAAATAAATTCCCACAATTTGATATAGATTGTGGAGGCTATAATAACCGCCACAATAAAACTTCCGTAAATTTAGCGTTTTTTTGTAGTGTGCTGACCTATTATTAACTTTGCTCCTGCAGATTGTCACTATTTATTTTAATTGCTAGATGTATTTTCTCTTGGGAAGTTAGCAAGCTAAATTAATGTTTGCTTCTAAAGTCCTGCCCTTCTCTAGATCATTGATTAATTATTATATTGTCATCCTTATGTCTAAAGAAAAGTATGGTCTAAACGAAGAAATTTGGTGTACAAAAAATATACTCCTATTATGGTGTGGGAGTACAAAATATATTAGGAGAGTTGGGATATAATATTATACCTAATGTTGAATATGGAGGAAAAATAGATTCTCTGTTGCTTGGCTATCCTTTTTCAAGGCTTCTTGCGGCGAAAATTGGACAAGGCAAATATTCAACATACAACTCTCTCAAAAGTCAAAACAAATGATTATTTGAAAAAGTAATACTAGATGCTAATATGTATTTGAAATATTTTATAGCCTTTCTGGTAAAGATGAGGCAAAAAAGTTAGTCTTTTTAGTTTTGACTCTAACATACTAACATAGAAGAAACTCAAGACACATTACTGGAAATCCACCAAAGGTTAAGTTTGAGAATTATGAATTAAGTAGTTCAGTTCGACTGTACTCGCATTTATTCCCTCACTCAAGACAGATGGAAGCTATTTATAAATATGTTCAAATTGGTTGAGCAATCCCTCTTTTCTTTTTCATGCCTCTAGACATGAATGATCTAAAAGTGAAAAAAGCCTAGCAAAAATTTTAGCAATTAAAGTCAAAATAAAAATTAAAAATAGAGCACAATGTTATTGTGATATAAAATCCTCCTCATGTAAGCTCCTCATATATTAATGCTATCTTGTGAATAAGGAAGCAGAAAACTCAAGCAAATCAAGATTATGCTTGAACTAGAAAGATTGTCACAACTCATGGACCAAACAAAGATGACATATTCACAAAACAAACATCTTACTTTTATTGAAAGATTTAACGTCACTTAATTCGAGAAAAGAATTAATGAAATCGAATCTTTTTTGTTGAGTTTTGATGAATCAAACTATGTATAAAAGTATGTAGCCTAATCAAATTTATTGCTACTTTAATATTGTCGCTTTGCTATTATAATAAATTCACTTGACATCTTTATTTGTTACCATCCTATTTCATTGTCAAATGAAATTATTAAAAATTAGAATAAACTAAAACAATAAGAAGTTGTTCCGAAGTTGATGCTATATTTTCCATGGAAACAATTACCACATTAGCTTACTTCTAAAGAATTTTATATCTCTATTTCAGTTATATTTACAAATAGATCATTTCAAAAAATTTATAATATTTTCAGGGACCGCGCAAGCGCGGAAAAATTAACTAGTTTTTGAATAAATCCAACCTTTCTAACATGACATGTACTATGACTAGTAAAGTTCCATATTTGATAGCCTGTGTTTTTTTGGCCAAAAATTGAGGTGTTTGACCAAGTCTTTAGATGGAAAAAAGTATTTTTGAGGAGAAGCCGAAGCAATTTTTGAGAAGAAGAAAAAAGTAACTTCTCTCCAAAAGTACTTTTGAAAAAAATAAATTTAAAAACAGTTTTTAAAAGTTTGATCAAACATTAATTACTGCTCAAAAATAATTTTTAAATTAATTAGTCAAACACAAACTGTTTTTTAATAAAAATATTTTTTTGAAAAGTGCATCCGATTTTAGTAGCATGGCCAATCTGACCGCGAGTGTCCTAAGGGATCCAAGACTTTTCCCTTTTTAGCCTTTTTACAGCTAACTTTTAATCACATTTTAACAACAAAACCCGACAATATCGAAATACCCAAAAAACATAATCTTTCTCCCCCGACATTTTTGTTTCCCGGTACTGTTATTACATCACGTAAACCATAACTATCTCTACCTAAGTAATACTGTAGTAATTATAATTGACAACTTAAACCCCTGTGACCCAAAAAACACATTTCACTAACGCCAGCTCCTGGAGTAAAAAGAATCTCCATTATTATATAGTACTACTAGTGTACTGTAGTACTTATTTGCTACTTCATCTCCTCTCCCTCTTTTAATCAAATCTAAGTAAAAAGAATATTGGTACTATACCACTATCGATCTATCTGATCCGTGAAAAGCAAACAAGAAACTGTCAAAAAACATTCTTCACATTTTTAGATTCTTGGGGTGTCTTTGTGTGTGTGTGTTGAGGGGATAGAAGATGACGGAATGAGGAGAGAAGAGAAGAAAGTGAGGGGAGATGGCAAGAGCAGCAGTAGAGTGGAGAGGAAAATGGTGTTTATATAAGCAAACTATGATTGTTGTTTGCTCAACCAACATTTTTGTTGCTCTTTATGTGCTTCACTCTCTCTACACTTCTGTATATATGTACCCTTACAATCATACTCAAACAGGTAACTGTTGCTAATATTTATGCTTCTTTTATTATTTTGGGATGACCCCTTTTTCTTGATTCTGAATTTTCTGTTTACCTATTTGGGATTTTGCTGGAAAGTTGATTGCTTGTTTGATAAATGGGCGGTTTTGCCACAGCTTTTTAGTATATTTAGCTATACATCATAAAACCAGATTATTTTTGGATGAGCCCTTTTTCTCGCTTCTGAATCTTTTGTTTGTACCCATTTTGGTATTTTGTTGCTTTCTTAGAAAGTTGAATGCTTGTTTGATAAATAGGAGTTCTTTTGCCACAGCTTTTAGCTATACCTCAGATTATTTTTGGATGACCCAACCCTTTTTTGACTATGGATTTTCTGTTGACTCATTTTGGGATTTTGTTACTTTCTTGGAAAGTCGAATATTTATTTGATAAATCCATGGCTTTTGAGTTTTGACACAGCTTTTAGGCATTCCCAGATTATTTTGTAATGACATTATATTGTTTCTTGATTCTGAATATTCTGTTGACACATTTTGGTTTTGTTGATTACTTGGAATATTTTTTACTAGTTTGATAAATGGATGCTTTTTGTGCATACAGCTTTTAGGTATACCTCAGATCAGATTAGGAAAATGGAAGAGTCAATTCAATTACGGAAACAACTAGAACCTATAGAACTTATTAACGTGGTAAGACCTTTATTTGAGATTTTGGTATCTGGTTTCTGAATGTTGCTATATTCACGTGGACTTTGCTTGACGAGGAATGCTTTTTATATGATGAAGGTAAATCGCTTAAAGATCGAACTTTTGAAGGATGAGAAGGTGCAACAAATACCGCAGCATATTAAACAGAAGATAGCAGATGAGATACTAGTAACTTTAAAAGCCGTGAATGCCAATGCCGATGCAACGCTGCTACAAGGTGATTGTGCCTTCAATTTCTGTAGATTAATAAACTGTGCTATCCTTGTTTTTCTACCTGCATTCTTAAAGCTTCTATTAGGGAAGACTTCTTGGCTTTTTATACTGAAGCCTGTATTAGTCGTAGACTTTTAAGTTATCTTATCTCTTACTAAAGTCTATTTGGTCTGTGTAGTAAGTATGTAGAGATGTTTGTTAATCAAGGAAGTGGTATGTAGGTTCAAGCTCATAAGCCAATCTGGAGATTTCACCATGCAATCAAGTTGCTACAAATAGTATCTGTATCTAGCCTAGTGTCTAAGGTTTTCTTTTCCCGAATTCAACGAACGGAAACCTTCTTTAAATGCAGTTCACCAAAGTGTAGCTGAAACAGGTGTCTTGGTCTTGTGAAATGGAAGCTGTCAGATGGAAAGAATTGTTACACTGGTTTTGAGTGTTACACTAGCGTGCAACATTGAATTTGCTTTGACATGGGCTTTTTCTGTTTAAACATAAGCTGAAAACTAAATACTGACATCCTTTAGCATAAACATATAATTTGTATGTCCTAGCATGGAGAGTTGTAGGAGCTTCAGAATCATGATATTTAGGTCTATTCGCCTTCATTCTTTTTGCTTGTGTTGACCAGATGCTCAAGATTTGTTCTTTTTCTCTCCTGAATGACAAGTCTATGTTATTCTGTCTGGAAAATGAAGTTTCCAAAGTTATCAAGGATTCCTGTTCCAATGTTGCATGTTGTATCTTCACACCTTGTTTTAGACTCCAGATCTTGTTTTATCCTTTCCAAAGTTATCAATGGACCACCTCCACTACAATGAGACTTCATACCAAAGATTTTGATGGAAGTCCCTTCTACACACCATCTTATCTTCTTCACTCATAGGTACATAGCTTGTGCAGGATCTTTTCACCATGTCACTCTCCTAGTCTTGTAGGCTTTCTATCCTTCATCCCTATTAATAATCTCCGCAAGTGTGGCTTCCTTTGTATTTTTCATGGATAATATGCAAGGGAAGTTGTCTTTATGAACAGCATCACACACCAAACATTATGCCAGAATGGACTACATTCCCGTTCACGATAATGATTCTAATGAATCTTGAAACATCCTTTCTCTCCTAAACGATCCTTTTCCATAAGCTTGTTCTTTAAGAATAATAACTCATCTCTTTTGCCAACCATGTTTTATTAATCACCTCCATTCACAGAGACTTCTCCTAAGTTGCGAACCTCTATAATCGTTTTCTCAGTAGAGCTCAGTCAAACATAGTTATTTATCTTCGGATACCCAACCCTGTTCCTAACAGGGGCTTTGACTCTCCCCCAACTCACCAAATGAAAATCTCCCTCTCTATTCATTCCTCGGACTTTTTCTTTTTTAGATTAAACAGAACATTTCTTGGCTACTGAAGGTGGGATGGGAAACAGAGACATGAAGTTTGTAGGAATGTTCAGTAGGATTGCCTTTATCAAGGAAACTCTTCCTCCCTTTGACATCCATCCCTCCTATCTTCTCCCAAACTTCTAGTACCTGCTTCCTCCATCCTTCCTATCTTCTTGTGTTATTGGTTGCTAAAGCTCCATCTCCTCCACTTTACTGCCTAGGGGAAGATCCAGGTATTTTTTGCCCGGATGCTTTGCATGCCCCAATGCAGCGGGTCAGGGAGATTTTACACCTCCTATACTGCTATCGTTTCAAATAGCTTACTTAAATGCCACTTAATTTGAAGACTGACCTTAGAAGAATTCATGTGTATATGAAGACCGAAGTAGCCACCAAAACATATTTGGATAAGGGTAGCCACCGTAACATAATTTTTTTATTATAAGTTCCTTATGATGTTTTTATTGTATGTATTCGTTTGCTGTGTTTCATTTACAATTCCGGGTTACCATATTTGACGGTGTTTTTGCTGAACAGATGCGGTGGAAAGTTGGCGGAAAGAAAAATTGAAAGAAGCTGCAGAAATTATTCATGAGAAAACATCAAATTCAACTATTTCTCCAGAGGAGGCTAGTATGTCCTTTTTATGACTGCTATTCTACAGTTTGTATTTTCAACTTTCTTTTGATGTTGAAGGAGTTCTGCATTTCTAGTTCACTGCAATTTTCAAGAAATAGGTATTATCTGTGACCTTTGATGAAGATTATCTGTGACCTTGCTTGCAGGTTTACTTGCACGAGCTTTGGAGGATGACTGGACTGAGCTGTCAGAAGAAATTGGTCTCTGGATACCTGTTCAGATCACTAATAAAGAACACGACGACAAACCTGAGGGTGAAGTGGAACTTGGTAATAAGATAGTTAGTTGTTCAGTCCAAATTTTATGTGTTTCTTTGTTTTGTTTTGGTCCAGATCTTTCATCAGCTTTTTTATTATCTCCCGTTTTTTGAGCAAGAAAAGTATTCTTCCCTTTTCCCCTCCCTCTCCACCTCTCCTTTTGCAAGCTTCTTTGATATTATTGTTATATCATTTGCTTTTTTTCCCCTCTTTTTTTCCTCTTTTTTTTTTGTTTGGCATGATGATAAATGAGTTGAGCTTAAATATAGAAGTGAGGATTCATATCGCCGGCCTCAACTTGTTTGGTACTGAGGCTTAGTTGTTATTTGCTGTATAAAAGAAACCAAAAAGACTAAAGATCTCTTTGATTGAAGGCATGCATGCTTGAAATTTGAGTCAAGCTAAGCATGCCAGACGTAACCAAAAGAAGGAGACCCTCTCTATCACAAATTTGCTATGTCAAATTAAGTAACAAAACAAGGAGACCCTCTCTGCTTATAGATAGATATTTATGCAGTAATTTATAAACTTATATTCTCCAGACGACGAAGTCATAGCTGGCAAGCAGCTTCCTCCCGAGTGTCGTGCTGAAATCCATACTGATTACGGTGGTGCTGCTGTAAGATGGGGCCTTACACACCATAAAAAATCTGCATATGAGTGTTGCATGGCTTGTTTGAATCAAGCTAAGCATGCCAAAACTAACCAAAAGAAATGTAACATATGGGTTTACTGCCCGTCAGAGACAGGATGCCACTCTCCGGACATTTATCAACACAAGCATCAGGAGTGCTGGCTGAAATATGTAAGTTCTGCGCGCTTTCTCTTCACAAACTTTACTACCTCCTGTTCTTGTCTTTGCAAAGTTTGATATTTAGCAGACTAAGCTGTTGTCAATCGTCTCTCCCTCTTTTCATTTGCAAATGCAGGCAGAGACACCTACGTTGAATTTTAAGGACCGCTATCCTGAAACATACAGAAATGCTCACCCAAATGCACCAGTAATTGTTCCATGGATGTCTGGTGTTGTCAGTGTATAAATTTGCCGAGAAGATGTTGTAACATTGTGGCAAGAAAATTGTGCGATCAGTTTTCTTGAGTTGCAGTTTCTATGGTCGAGCTGCTTCTCTTCGTCTTCTTGTTGTTTTGTGGGAAGATAGATTTTGTACCAAAATAGAAATTTGTTTTTGTATCACACAGTGATTAGAATTTTGGAGAACTGGCGAAGAGCTAAAGGATTGTGTTAATGCTAAAACCTACTTTTATTATTCTAAACTAACTTATGGTGTTTTAATTAAGCTTCAAAAAAGGATAGTGTTTGGTAAATAGTAAAATATTATACCGAAAAATATTTTTGTTGATGAAATCATTTTCATGGGTGGAGATCCCCTGCAGTGATAATTTGTCCATTATTGCTCAATACACTTACTGATTTTTGCCATGTGGCTGAGATTAAATAGGTCAGTAAACAAATAAAAATGGTAATGCAATTTCAAATAAATAAAATAACAAAGTTTACTGCTAACGGTGTCGGTCTAGTTTCACCGTACTTGCACTATTACTGGTTATGACATCATGGCAGGGCCTGCCTGTTGTATTGAGTGAGAGAAAAGTGCAAGTACGGTGAAACTAGACACCGTTAGTTAGCTGTAGCGGTGTACATAGGTCGGGTTGGTTCGAATTTTTTAATTATCAAATCAAACCAATAGTGTCGGATTTTTAAATTTATAAGTCAAACCAAACTAACAAAGTCAGATTTTTCAATCTCGGTGGGGAGAAGTGATTAGGCAAGACATGGCGCAACTTCAGCTGACCGATGATATGATCCTTGATAGGAATGTATGAGGTCGAGGATTAAGGTAGTACAGTAGGTAGTCTAGAGTGTTCATAACAGTAGTATTGGCACGCAGTCTCGCTTTCTATTGGTAGTAGAATTTTATGACTAACCGTTGTTTGCTTTCATTGTTGATCACCTTACTGTCTTGTTGTTTTTATTCTACTTTTATATGGCTTTTTTGTACTATCCCTTCTTGTCTATATTTTCATTGATGTGGTGCTTATGTTTTCCTTAGCCGAGGATCTATTGGAAACAACCTCTCTATCCTCACAAGGTAGGGGTAAGGTTTGCGTACACACTACCCTCCCCAGACCCCACGGTGCGGAATAATACTGGGTATGCTGCTTGGGGTTTTAGGATTTTTTTTTCAGGTAAAGTCTTCATAGCATAAAATATGTAACTTGTGCTCCAAATATTTCTTAAGTCCTAGTAAAATATAACTATATAATGTATATTCCAAGAAACTAACACAATATTATGAGATATGTCATAGCATTATACTAAAATATTCAATAACAAAGATAAAATAATAAAATTACATAAAATAAATATTGTTAATTAATAAGCCATAATGAAAATTAACATAATCTAAAAATACTATAAAGTTCATGCTAAAATAAGTATAACTAATAAGTACTAATATTAATTACATAACTAAGCACTAAAGAAAAAGAAAGACTAAGTTATGCATTTTCATTATAAACCAATATAAAACTAAAATAATTATCCAACACTATCATCATTCCTAGTATTGAATTGAATTTCTTTTGTTAACATTAGTATTGATTTGAATTTTGTTTGTGTTACTACATTTATGGGCTTTAAAACTTATTTATCATTCAAGAATGTTAAGTCTAAACTTGAAATAATACGTTAAAAGATAAAATTGTGAAAAAGTTTAAGAAATATTTATAAATTACATTACAACAAATATTTATATGTATAAAATATTTTTAAAAACTATATAAATGTACTATCGGATTGGTTTGGTTTCGGTTTGACTTTTTTTAGTTAAAACTAAACCAAACCAAACCAATTATGGTCGGGTTTTATTTTTCAATACCAAACCAAATCAAACCAAACCACATCGATTTTTTTTTTCCGGTTTGACTCGGATTATCGATTTGGAACGGTTTATCGGTTTTCTTTGTACACCCCTAGTTAGCAGTAAACTTTTTGTTATTTTATTTATTTGAAATTGCATTACTATTTTTAGTTGTTTACTGACCTATTTAATCTCAGCCTTGAATTAATTGAGTAGACACAAGGCACAAATCAATAAGTGTATTGAGCAATAATGGAGAAATTATCTCTGGAGGGGATCTCCACCCCATTTGGGTGTGTCATCTTTTCGGCCTATTCAATTTCAAAATGATTAATCTCTTATACCATATTCGCATAAGGTAATAAGATCTAAAAGGATTTGTAAGTAGTCATTGTTTGGTGTAGTGTCCCCTTTCACCCTTGACTTCAGGTTGAAGTGAAAAATAATAGCTACAAATTTAGAAACATTACTATGAAATAGAAACAATAACTAAGATATATAGAATGAGAAACTGAGATGTCAGTTGATTTGGTATAGTAGTCCAAGTAGCATCAGTTATTATCTTGAAAATACCTTGGTCGGCTCTTTTAATGTTGTCTTCACTTTAAAGATTAAAAACCCAAAAAGTTCATAGAAGATGAAAGGCCACTTTCATGCAAGAATTTCAAAAGGGAAAAAAAACAGTAGAGAAAAATTACAAGTATTTAGTTCTGTTTGGGAAACCTTTTCACCTACAACACTCAAAGAATTTTACTTTCAACTCTTCTCCAAACATGGTCTTCTCTCCTAAGCAAGAATCACCAAATCAGTCCAAGAGATGCAAATTCTTCTCTTCAACTCTCAAGGATGCATTTGCCAATTGCCACATTTTTAAGGAAAGACATTCTAGTACTCAGAGCTCAGACGAAGACGATGCAATCGATGATTATGATGATGAAGAGGACGTAATAATTTATAGTCTGAGATTTTCTTTCAAGTTCAATGCATTTATCTTGTGATATGTTCATCTTTTCTGAAAGCTGTTTTGTGGATTTTATCAACAGGTGTTTGTATCAATAGTAATAAGTAAATACATGGAGTCAAAATGCAGAAGACAGACAACCATCTCAAATGACAAGTTCAACTGGAGTTTCTCGCCAACAGCAGGAGATTTATTCATATCCGCAAAGCTAATGCAACAAAAGGAGGAGAATGAACATGAAATAAAGGAAGAAAACGAGGATTTCCTCTCTGCTGGTACTCGTTTTTCGCGCTGCTCGAGTGCTTTAAGCTATGAGGCATTTGCCACAGCTAAGACAACACTTTCTCGTTCTTCAAGCTTGAACAGGATTGAGTTTCAAGATTTTCCTAGACGCCCTGTTATTCAGGAATTCTCTCACTGTGAAGGATGGCCATTTGGTCTATGCCGTAAACTGTTGTTACTTCCTCCTTTGCCAAAATCCCCATCTGATTCTTGGTCATGGCGAAAGAGTGCAAGAATGATCAAGATACACTAGTTGCTGGCATTCAAAACCAATCTTCTCTTAATTTCTAAAGAATTTTACATTTTCCCAAAAGGGATGCTGAACTTCATTTTTCATGTATTTGCTATGTTCTTGATAATAGCCATAAACTCTTTCGAGAATTGAACACCTTTCTTATGCTTTGCATGCTTCAAACTTTGGCTTAAGTAGTACATTTACTGTCACTTATTTTACCAGTTTGGCATTTAAGGCCAAATTACAGATGGTCAAAGATGGAAGTTCGTCATCAGAGGGATAAAACTGAACTGCTGGCATAAAGTGCTCTGTGCCACGTACAGTAAATAAGCAAACCAACTTAAAACAAGAAGCTCATTCATCAATCAACCAGAAAATATGTGTTGAAGCACACACCTTGAAGAAACAAAGATTAGAACTTTCTGAATATTCAAGAAAGTATTTCCTTGCACAAGTTTCTTGGATTATTATCATTTGCCTATTGTAGCAATCACATGATCAAACTTGCGAACCAAGTGCAACATAAGAGATGATATTAAAGCAACCTGTATTATCTAAAACAACAAACATTCAAGTGATTGAAGACAAAAACACGGTGGTATATCTTCCATCGTTGAAGGTCTATGCTCTATGCTCAACATAAGAACCAGCAAGTCCAGAAGTCCCAAGTACTGTAACCTGGAGTTAGCAAGGGTGAAAGAGCAGTGAGAAAACAAATAATGGTATATGGTTCATCCTTCAGGAGATTTCAGACTATTATTTTGAAAATGTAACAAAATCTCGAGGGAACATTTCGAAAAATGAATTGTAAAATCACTTGCAGCATTAGAAAATCTATTCCAGAGAAATTAAACCCCACCATCAAAATAGAAAGTTGGTAGTTGTTTCTTGTACTAATTAATGGATGATAATATTGTAGACATGAACGTTTATTTAAAGGCATAATGGATGATTTCATGAAAAGCTAGTCAATGTCCAAGAGTTTGATCAAATTTTGTTGGAACCATAGAAAAAACAGTCACTACTGGAGTGCAACTTTAGAAGGGCAATTCAAATTGCAGCTGGTATCCACAGCTTTCTTATCTCCTAAGTGAAACATAGCTTGTTTTGCAAATATTGCTTGTGTAGGAAGTTGTAACCTACAGAAAAGCTGAAATACATGCAACAAACTTGCTTCAGTTATATGTACCTTTCCCCATTCAGAATCAAGGCCGCTGCATCGCATCTTCAAGTGTATCATCCTAGTCCCTAGTTCCATCTCAACTTTCTTCCTCAAATATCCCTCCTCTGGCCCAAAGGCACTCATGTATGTGTTGTAGCGTTGAAATACTATTTGCAGTGCATCAAAGACTTCTTTTGACAGAGGCTTCACATCCTGCCAGCAATATGAGTATTTAAACAACAAGAACTTGAGAAATTGCATATCAAATCATTGGTATCATAAAACTCATCTTACCTCACCACTTAAACCGATAGCATCATCAATTTCCATTTTCAGAGATATGAGAATCCCAGTGAACTCCTCAACTGCCTCCGCGGCGCGGAAAACACTCGCCAAAGCTTCCTGGCCGGTTTTGTCATCAGTACTCTTGGACACTGCATTCTTGGCATCATAGACGACAGCATCTGGGAGCTCGTGCCAGCTTGCAGCCATTAAGTCTTTAAAAGCACGTTTGACCTCCGGATCTTTTATGTCAGGCATGTGAGACAAATCCTCGCTGAAAGAACGCATGCTTCCCATTGCCATTGTGAAAGGATGCCTCCATTCTAGAGTTTCACAATATCCATGTAATGTCAATTACTGATGCAGGATCAGGAAATTGATACAAAGAATAGGAAACTAAAAGCACTTCGCTAGTAAGGCAATTAAGAAGCTTCTCCAAAGAAATCATATAAGGTCCTGTTTCCCCACAAACAATCCTAATTATGTCGTAATAACCATGAATTATAAGTAAAAGGATCTAGAATCCAACTCCAACATTGAACCAGGTGCCTGAACTCTTACATTTATAAGACTCTAACTTATCACAGGTAGAGTGAGCAATAGTAATTGGAACCCATATTCAAGTGTGCCAACCAAAGTTTTTGTTGTTGCCTTATGCTCAGAATTCTATTGAGCTTAAAGAATCTACTGGCACTCAGGGATTTTTTACACCTACTTTTAAAATCACATAGACACAAATCAGCATCCACAATGGAAACGACAAACGAGTAACCTACTGATTCCACAATTGGATATGATAAAGCAGAATCAAAAAACCTAAAGATAAGTGAACGATGCGTAAACTGACAAGTTGATAAATTGACCTTAGGCCTAACTCAACCCCAAAAGCTAGCTTATGAGGTGAGGATTGCCCAAGACCATATACGGAGACCAAGGACCTCAAATCCCACGGATGTGGGACAAGTCAACACCCCCTTAGGCCCAAGCCTGCAAACTGGAGCGCGGACAACATAAATGGAGGCTCAACATCGGTAACAATAATTGGGATGGGCCTGGCTCTGATACCATGATAAATGGACCTTAGGCCTAACTCAATCCCAAAAGCTAGCTTATGAGGCGAGGATTTTCCAAGATCATATAAGGAGACCAAGGACCTCAAATCCCACCGACGTGGGACAAGTCAACACAAGTAGCGTAAACCTAAACCTTAGATAAATTAGGGAAGGGGAATCAAACATAAAAAGGATCAAACTGAAATGGAGCATCAAAAACCCTATTTTCATTTTTCTCAACTCAATCCCAAACTAGTTGGACTCGATTGTATCAATCGTCTAATATCCATTCTGCTCTATTCGGGACCATTTCATTCCAATACTAAATAATTTGTCTCTTAAACAGGTTCTCTAATCACACTTATCCAATACTATTCATGTGTCTCATAAACAAAAAACTATGTCTATTAACAGTAAAATTAAAATTTGGATCTTCATATATATATATATATATATATGTGTGTGTGTGTGTGTGTGTGTGTGTGTGTGTGTGTGTGTGTGTGTGTGTGTTAACAGAAATCCCCACGACACTAACATTAAAAACCCTACCAATTGAAATATCAGATTGAAAGCAGACTCACAAATTTCACATTCTTCAAAATAAAATAATTTACTCATTAACCAAAATTGAGCTGAACAGCAAAATCCGATAAAACAAAATACTACGAATATAAGCAGATGATGCTTTGTACCTGTAACAGGGTTTCTAGGAGAAGCTGAGAAAGATTGGGATGAGAAATGGAGGTGGCGGAGGGACTGGTGATTGACGGCGGAGGTTGTGGCGGCGGCCGCGCCGAAGACAGTAGATCTGCGGCATATCGATCGATACAAAGATCGCATCAGCACCATTTTCTCCATTTCTGCTTACCTTTCTGGTTTCTTCTCACAGGGTCGTAGGTATCCAGCAAAAAGAGAAAGTGTCCTTTAGTATTGTGTTTTTTTAAATTTATAATACTTAATATATACTCTAAATACCCATAATACAAGACAATTTTAACAAATTAGCAATGAAAATATGTACTACGAAAATTGGTTCTAATTACACATATTACTACTGTGCATTTCCTTTATGTTGTAGTTTATATGAACCTATTTTCTCTTTGGTCCGTTCTAAAAAGAATGACCCCTTTCTAAATTAAGTAATAATTTAGATTAAACTTACAATTCTACCTTTAATGAGAAATTTTTATAACCACACAAATACTTTGGGGCCCTTTTTGACTTGTTTAGAACTACAAATTCCAAAAGTTTTTATTTTTTCTTAAATTTTGTGCCCAGTCAAACACATTCACATAAATTGAAACGGAGGGAGTAATTGCTTTTGTATCAGTTTAATGTTGATTCAAATTAATTGACGAATATCGATTAAAAGTAAAAACAATTGAAACCAATCTAAACTATTATAAATTTGATAACTCAAAATAAATCAAATCATTAAGACAGAATACATATACAACTCCTTAAAAGTTGGCAACAATCTTATTTAACTGACTCAACTAATAACTTGTTTGGCCAAACTTCTAAAATCATAGAAATGCTTTTTTCAAAAGTAAAAAAGTGATTTCGCGCGAGAAGCAGTTTGTGTTTGACTAATTAGTTTGAAAAATACTTTTGAGCAGTAATTAGTGTTTGGCCAAGCTTTTGAAAACTGCTTCTAAGTATATTTTTCTCAAAAATGCTTATCAGAAAAGTGGTTTTGGAGAAAAACTAATTTTTTCTGCTTTTCAAAAACTGCTTTTGCTTTTCTTTAAAAAAAAAAAATTCCTTCCAAAAGCTTGGCCATGATTGGGGCAAAAGAAAATGCTTGATAAGTTATGAAGAGTTTAACCATAAATAATCTCTTAACTAATCTATCAAATAAGTGGAAGATTCATTAAACCGTGAAACGTTACCCTGCCATAATGTGATGTGCTTCCGATGCCAATAAAAAGTAACTCAACTTCACTCAATAAGTGTTTATCAAACAATATGTTGCCAACTTGAGAGAATTGTATATCAGCCAGCTACGTAGCATTCCTAAAAATTACTTTGACCTCTAAATTCTAATTTCTAAAACACTTTTATCTTTCCTTAAACTGCAATAGTATACCTTTTAGTAAAACCGTTACATAGAAGAGCACTAATAACAGCATAATTACTCAATTATTGGTTAAAGAAGCGTCTAAACATTTTCAAAATTCTATATTTGCATCCACAAACTCGAATATCCATATTAAAAGAAATATATATATACACTAAACACTACATGAATTAATAATTCATGTATTACAATCTTTGTTTTAAAATCTGGGCATTAACTTATCCACGAATCAAACTACACGTAAAAGATTCCACGCTCTAAAGTCAGCAAATATGTTTACCTACTTCCCCGTAGTAAAAATTTATAACACAAAGGTATTGAATTGATGTGAAAGTTTTAAGTTAAAAGAAGTAATTCCGTCCTGTTTTAGAATAGCATGCTAAAAAAGTAGCATGACGATTAGGAGAATTCATTAATTAGGTTCGTACACCAATTAAAGTCACTTAATCATATTCTCGTTAAAAATTAAGGTTGTACCAATACATTGTTCTACATCAACTTCTAGTATGCACATTCTATTGAACACATTTTTTACTATCAGCCCAAACACTTAAACGTGTGAGATTCATGCAATT